AAGGTTACGCAGATGGTTGCTGGGCAGATGTCCTAGCAGAAGTATTTTTTTGTGTAAAGTTGTGATGGCCACTGTGCAAGGCTGTGGTTTTGCAGCATCTCTTGTGATAATTCTTGTTATCAGGCATTTGTGCATGAGAATCCTTCCCTTTTTGGCCTTCCCCAGCTCAATTTGTCAGTTTTTTGTTGTTGTTGTTTATTTTTAACACAAAAATAGTTTTCATTTTGATTCTGAAAACTTTTCATGCAGTTCTCTTTCTGGAGTCTAGAGAAAAGAAAGATATAACTAAGGAAAGAGGGAAGACACGTGGCTGGTTAGTTCAGTTGGTGAGAGCGTGGCCCCATAAACATAAAAGTCCAGGGATCAATCCCTGTACCAGACAGCAGAACAGAAAGAAAGCGAGGTTGCTTTCTTCTGACACATGCTGAGCATTTAGAAAAGGGAATCTAGGAGGGAAAATACAGGTTAGTGGGGTGAGCCCCAGTAACACGCCTTTTTAAAAATCATTCCCCCACCCAGTCTTTTGGGAGGAAACCTTGTAGCACCAGGCCCAGCTGGAGGCACCCCGGGGCCCAGGGAAAGTTCAGAACCACAGGAGCCTGTTGGATTTGAGCCCAGGGAAGCAGAGGTTGCTACTGCAGCTGCCTTGGTAACGGGGGGGACAGGCAGAGCATGGTCTCCCCATCTTGTACGGTGCCTCGCCAATCCAGTTGCCCCTGGAAGAGAAAAGGTCCCAGGGAGACAGGGTCAGGTGAGCAGGTTAGGTGAGTAGCCTCCACACAGATTTCCAAATCTCAGCGCTGCCACTGACTGGCCGTGTGACCTTGGGCAAGTCACATCTATAAGCCTTGATTTCCTCATCCGTAAAGCCAAGAAGATCCCCTCCCTCCCCAGGATGCAGCAAAGATCAAACGCAGCCGTGAGTGGCTGCTCCTCGCACCACGCCTGGCAAATAAGTGACTCCCCTGCAAGGCCTAATTTTCTTATCTCCCTCATTCCCCCCGGAGGATGCAGATCTGAGTTCTGGTCCTGGATTCTGCCACCTGCCAGCTGGTGACTGGATAAGGAACCCCATTTCTTAGGACTTGATTTTTATCCTCTGCATAAAATAAATAAATGAAACGATGTCCCTGAAAATTATGAGGAGACCTATGAGAAAACACTTTGTAACTTACGAGTGCTGTGTGAATGAGAGCCAGAATAATCAGATGGAGAGTAGACTCCAGTCATGGAGGGACGTGCCCATCAACCTCATCACGGCCCCTGCTGGACACTTCTTATCCCAAATCCATCCTACCTGCTCCTGAATTAATCCTCTCAAAAGATCACCACCTTCTGAGAGGAGGGGGGATAGGGAGTTATTGCTTAATGGTTAAAGGGTTTCACTTTGGGGTGATGAAAAATGTTTTGGAGATAGATAGTGGTGATGGTTGCACAACATTGTGATTGTAGTTAATGCCACTGAGCTGTACATCTAAAAATGGTCAAAATGGCATATTTTATGTTGTATATGTTTTACATATATATATATATATATATGTATATATATATATATATATGTATATATATATATATATTTTTTTTTAAACCCTACTTTCAGCTTTCCATTGCCTATGCCGGGGTTGGCAATTTTTTTTTTTTTTTCTGTAAAGGGACAGACAGTAAATATTTTAGGCTTTTAGTCAGGCATTCTAGACTGCCCTAAAAGCATGTGGAACTGAATTACACACCTCATCTTCCCACACTCTTTTCTCCATCCCAGTGTGTGGAGTTGTCTCTTTTTTCTCTCCCTTTCCCCTCTCAAAGCCTAAAATCATTCCCCCAGCTCTTGCTCATGGCTGCCTAATAATCTCTTTTTTTTTTTTTAAAAGATGACCAGTAAGGGGATCTCAACCCTTGGCTTGGTGTTGTCAGCACCACGCTCAGCCAGTGAGCAAACCGGCCATCCCTATAAGGGATCCGAACCCGTGGCCTTGGTGTTATCAACACCGTACTCTACCGAGTGAGCCACAGGCCGGCCCAATGGCTGCCTAATATTCTCACCAATGACCTGTAGTGTTAGTTATCTTTGCAAGTCCCAAAGCCTTATTTTCTCACCTTATTTGATCACTCCTTGTGGGCAGAAATGGAATCTTTTTTCCTCCAAAAGTGACTGTGAGGAAAGTCAGCCAAAACGCTCAGATAAGTATGCACTTATGGTTTCCTAACAGGATTGATTGATTCATTCATTCATCGTTCAACAAATACTACCAAGAGCATCTATCGGATATCAGGATTCATGCCAGATGCTGTCAGTCCACAGTTTTAAAAAGGTGCTCTTGGAAGTTAGGGAGCTGGGAGAGTTAAGATGCCTGGGGTGATGGAATCCAAGTAGGTTTTTGGGTATAATTTAACCACTTGGGAAAAAGCTCTTCTTAAAAAAACAAAGGGTTGAAATCACTGAAATAGAAGGATATAGAAATAAATAAGGTCGGGCCGGCCTGTGGCTCACTCGGTAGAGTACGGTGTTGATAACACCAAGGCCACGGGTTCGGATCCCTTATAGGGATGGCCGGTTTGCTCACTGGCTGAGCGTGGTGCTGACAACACCAAGCCAAGGGTTGAGATCCCCTTACCGGTCATCTTTTAAAAAAAAAAAAGAGATTATTAGGCAGCCATGAGCAAGAGCTGGGGGAATGATTTTAGGCTTTGAGAGGGGAAAGGGAGAGAAAAAAGAGACAACTCCACACACTGGGATGGAGAAAAGAGTGTGGGAAGATGAGGTGTGTAATTGAAAGAAATAAGGTCTATTTCCCACCCTCGAGAGTTTATAACCTAGTTGTATAAGGGTAGTTCAAAAAGTTCATGGAAAAATGGAATTAAGAAATAATATGAATCTTTCCATGAACTTTTAAAAGACCCCCTTGTACTATAGGCAAGACACCACTTAGGCTACACTAATATTTTAATCCTTCAATTCTGTGAGGCAGGAAGTATTAACCCTAAAAAAGGGGACCGAAGCCTATAGAAATAAAATGACTTATTCCAAGCTGGGAATCAAACCTAGGCCTGATAGCAATAATAAGAACCAATATGTATTCCTCACTTACTATGAGCCCAGGGACGTGACCTGGTCTATCTCACTGAATTTCCTCAACAATTTCATGAGTAGGTACTATTTTATTCCCATTTGCAGATGAGGAAACACGCATGGAAAAGTTAAGTGAAATCACAAATTTGAACCCTAGCAGTCTTGATTCCAGAGCCTAAAAATCTTAACAACTATACTGTTAATACTCAATGCTTCAAAAATGTGCTGTCAACAAATGAATGAGAACAGTTCCTTGAACTATTTGTAATGGAGTTTGGTTTCTTGCATTTTCCCTGTGTGGTAAAGCTGAGCTGCAGTATGTACGTTGTCAGTATGCCACCATCTAACAATAACAAGTGTCCTAGCTGGAGAATTTGTGGTCAGGCTACCAACGACTTCAAGAAAATCAGCATATTACAAGAATACTTCAAAAAGTTTATGGAAAAATAGAATCGAAAGTTCATGCTAATCCATCCATGAACTTTTGAAACACCTCCTTGTATAATAGAAAGAACATGGGACTTGGAATCAAGAGACTAGTGTTTCACACAGCTCTGCTACTTATTGGCTTTGTGACCTCTGGTAAATTCCTTAACCTTTCTGAGCCCCAATTTCTCAATCTGTAAAAAGGGGTAATATTTTCCCAGTGTCCCTCCCTTTTTATTCCTTCTTTCTTTCATCTCTTCAATGAGATAATAAGATGAAAGAAAGTATTTTGCAAATGATCAGGAGCTGTGTAAGAGTAAAATGTGGTTATTATTATGTAGTTTTGAAATTTTAAATATCATGTTTAGTTAGAATTTGTTCTTGTTTTTGTATGGGAACCTGTAATGTTTGCAAGTTTGTATGCTGTGTATTGGCTGGGAACTTCCATTCCCCTTTCTCCATGTTTCTAGAGATGTGTATGAAGACAGCTCCTAACCTCTCCCCCACCAAGCTGACTGGAGAGTCTGGGAGAAGGAGCTGAGATGCTCATTCTGTTCTTCCTTTGTTTCCTTTGGGATCCGCCTGCCTGCAGGGAGCATGTGTTCTTGGTTGTCTGTTTGTTGTGGTGAGCTCAGAGGGACTGGCTCTGCACTTGTAAGAAGAGGCCTGTGCTTGTCTGGTGCTGCCTGTCACTGGGTGTGCAGTTCTAATTCAATAGTGAGATATTTGCAAGCCCACTTGGCTGGCATATTGGTAGATCTAAGCCACATTTTCCACTATTGATTTCTTTGTTGATGCTGCCTTTCCATCTACCTTGGTCCTCTGCCTATCTCCCAATCAATTCTGAAACTTGGTCAAAGAAAAAACATTACCAATTGATCCTGTAAAACTACCAAAATTGTACGGTATTGAGGGTACTTAAGATGGAGGAAAGAGGGATGTTGCATGTCTTTCTTTTCTTTGCATTCTTGGGATCCACCCTTCTGCCACAGAGCCTCTTTTGCTTCGGTGCTGGCACTTACTTAATGGCATAGTTGCAGACCAGGTATACTGCCTGATGCCAGGTGCTGCCCCAGACCTTGATGCTGCTACAGGTGTGGATGGCACAGCCCAGCCGATTGGAAGATGCCCACACCATCTGAGGAAAGACAGAGACAGGGCAGGCTATGAGAGGAACTCAGCTGCGCCCATGTTCCTTGGGACTGCATGGCCCTTGTGCTTGGTTCAGGGTGGGTGCAGTGGTGAGGTCTTCCTGGGGAGGCAGTCTGCCTGTCGCAAGGTAGGAGGCTGGAGAGTCTCAATACCACCAGCCATGTGACTTTGACCAAATCACTTGACCTCTCTGTGTCTCAGTTTCTTCTTTAGTAAAACGGAGGTAATAATGTCTCATGGGAAGTCAGGAAGGACATTTGGTTTAGGTGACACATTTGCTAGAGGATCTCAAATTTAGATTTTTGACATTACCTCCAAATGAGTCATAGAGAGATGGACAGGGCTGAAAGATGACATCTGTCATACAAATGGAAATGCTCGTCCTATTACAATGGTATATTGTGTGGTATTTTTATGTGTAACAATGGTTAACATTCTATATTAGCTCTCAAACTATACTACTGTTTTTGTAATCTTATTTTGGCATTTCTTTTTTTTTTTAAGATAGTGGGAGCCTAATAATCAGAAAATACCTAAGACACCCAGCAAAACAAGATTCATCTCAATTCAGTGTATACCCAACTTTCCAAGAACATACTTCTTATGTAAGAAGAAGCCCACAGGGGCCTCTGTTTTAATTCTTATTTCTGCCACCACGCTATTTTTATTCTAAGGTACCAGGATTTGTTCTCCCATCGGCCCTCAGCCTCGACAGAGTTACCTGGGTATAGTGGGAGCAGACAGGGCCACTGCAGCGCCAGGGGCACTGCGGGTTACAGTCCCTCGGGACCGGAAACAAGTAATGCTGCTTCTCCTCGGACCAAGGCTTCACAAGGTCTATCACTGAGCGGTACCTGGGGAGGCAGAGAACATGGAAGAAGCTGGGTGGGAGGCTGGAGAAGTGACCCTGCCACCAACGTGCCTCGTGACCTTGGGTGAGTCACTTCACCTGCCTTCCCTCAGGTTCCTCATCTATAACGAGAATGTGAGCAGCAGCGCCAAACTCCCAGGTATGTTCTGAATTGAGATGGTGCACAGGAAGTGTTTACCTGCACCTGGCCTGCCACCAACGTGCCTCGTGACCTTGGGTGAGTCACTTCACCTGCCTTCCCTCAGGTTCCTCATCTATAACGAGAATGTGAGCAGCAGTGCCAAACTCCCAGGTATGTTCTGAATTGAGATGGTGCACAGGAAGTGTTTACCTGCACCTGGCAGGTAGTAAGTGCTCAATAAAGCACACTTGTCATTGTCGCGTGAGGGGCTGGGCATGAGGTAGGCATCTCAGACAAGGCAGCTTCTATTTTTAGGGAAGAAAAGGCTCATTGGACCATCTCGTAGGCCTCTGAGATGTGAGATGCAGGGAAGGCAGACACGTGGTGTGTCACTCTGAGAAATGCTGCAGCCTGAAAAGCCACCTGGTTGGGGCCGGGGGGCTTTTCCTATCATGCACGTTTGACAGAGGCACAAATACACAAAAGGGCCAATATGAGGGAAAAATCTGGAAGAATTCACACTCATAATTTACAACAGCACATCTTTATCCCTACACCATTTTGTTTTACCTTTGGGGTAGGGGTGGAGTCTGGCAGGAAGAGTTTAATGACAGGAGAGAGAGGATGTGAACTTGAGGAAAGACTGAATCACCTGATGTCTGCTCTGGAGGATTCTGAGGGACCATTCACGGTTCCCAAATGCCAGCGCTGGCCCTGACCAGTCAATGACAAGAAAAAATGCTGCCAGAGCCTTGCGTTTCCACTGAGCTCCATGGAAAGGACTGGCCTTGATTCTGGCTTTCCTGTCTTTTCACTTAACAGGATAGTTTATCTTAGTGATTATTCCTCATCAGTACATGGAGAATACCCTCCTCATCCTTCTTAACAGCTTTATCATTTTCCAAAGTGTGAATTACCCAATTTTTATAAGTGGAAAAAGTGTTACTTAATAAAATACTAGTTCCCTTCCCTCTCTGACTTCCTGCATTCTCTGAGAGATCATTTGCTCATTCAGCACACACTGAACAATATTATTTCTAGGCACCGAGGACTCTAGGACAGTCTAGCAAGAAAATGAGACATTCAATGAGTCATTAATCATTACAATCCTCGTGGGTGTGACAATGTGGAATGGGGCCATGGGAGAAGGGGCTCCTGGAGCGAGGGATTCTTAGTCAGGTACCTGTCTGCAGGCAGAAGTCAGCTAGTGAAGAAGAAATTAGGGTACCAAAAGAGGGATCTATACGTCTCTGCGGTGTTGTCTGACTCATAACCTTTCAGCAAGAGCAGAGGAGTTCCCTCATGCTACAAAGGGGTAAACTCAGGGAAGAAGCATGCTAACCATCAAACCCAAACCCCTGGCCCCTCCCAGAGCTCCTGGTAAGACATCCCACTCTCTCTGCTCCATACTGCATGCAATCATTAAACACCTGTTGGGGTGAGTGCCTTGCACACACAACTGGTGCTCAATAAATGTGCCATTTGCTTGAAAAGTGGAGGGCATTCTATGTGCCAATCCTGTGTTAATACATGAGTGAGTCAATCAAGAAACAAATAAACGATGCCCCCTACCGCTAGCTATCTGCCACCGCAGCTCCTCCCCAGCACCTTACTCCTTCCTGACATTGTAATTATATGTGTCTTGTTGTTGATGTGCATTTTCTCTCATCCCCACTAAAATGTAAGCTCCATGAAAGGAGGGGCCTCTTCCATCTTGTTCTCAGCAGTATCCACAAGGCTTAGCATGGTGCCTGGCTCCAAGTGTACTCCGAGTGTAAGTGAATGGATGTGTTGCAGAAGTCTAAGAATATTCAGGCTGTTGATTAGCACATATTTGTCTTAGAGGTGGTGGGCTGGCAATCTCTTGCCCTAAAGAAATCTATGGGTGGGCTGGAAGCCTATCTCTCTAGTTCGGTTTGGGACAATGGTCCTGGAGGAGGAGCTTCGATAAGAGGAAGGTTCCCTCCTCCACGCCAGGAGTCTGGCTTCTGGGGGCTGGGGTGAGAGCCACCAGCCCTGCCTCTTGGAAGGAAGATATCCCAGTTTTCTCTGCTGGTCAGCTGCTGGCTTTCCCCAGCCTGAGATCCCAGATACCTGTCCCTAGGGCTCCAAATCCTGCCTCCACAGACTTGCTGGAGATGGTTTGGGTATGTCAACCAACTCCCAGGGCAAAAAGACAATGGCATAGAAAGCGCCACCCACCTGCCCCTGGCAGGTCCCCAGTGAAGAGGCAGAATTCTCAGGCAGGGTATCATGTTGCTTAAGACCACAATCTTAGCAGCAAGCAGACCTGGGTTGAAATCCTGGCTCGGTGGCCTTGGGCAAATTAATTTTCTGAGTCTCAATTTCTTTTATTTGGAAAATGGAGATGATAACATCCACCTTAAACGAAGAATAGTGCGTTCAGGGTTATGTGCAGTGTCTGGAACACAAAGGGGGTCCGTAAACATCAGTCCCATGGCTCACTGGAGGAGCTGTGCAATCACCTTAGTCTCCTCATCTGTAAAGTGGGCAGACTAATTCCTGCCCTTCCCACAGATCCTGGACACCCAGATACCGGCTAGCAGGACCAGGCTGGCAAATGGTCCAGTTCTTCAAAGCCAGTCATTCCAGGCCAAGGTGAGTTGGCTGGAAGGGGTACTGGGGAGGGCATGGAGACTCACCATGTATTCCATGTTGGCAGCAGGTGGGTACACGCTGGCCCGGATGTGGTTGTGATAATCCAGTAAGGCACTCATGTCCTGGGCAGAGATGTGGCGCTTCCGATGGTACCGGGGCACCCCCAGGCCACTTGGGGGCCTCACAGCTGTGCCCTCAGGGTGGGCCAGGGCCAGAGTACCATTGGGCACCATCAAAGCATTCACTGTCTGACCTGCCCAGAAGAGCAGGCCTGCCAGACCCATGGTGCTGGGAAGCAGGGGCATAGCTGGCTGGAGGGGTCGCACGTCTGCCTTGTGCAATCAGAGCAGGCTGCCTGGAAGGGGCAGGCATGAAAGCACCAAACCCTGAGCATTCTCCTCTGGCATTGCCAGCCCAGAGGATGTTACCCCCTAGGAACTTGGCAAAGACCTCTTGACTCAGCACTGGTCGAGATGCCCAACAACTCTTTCTTTCCACCCCAGTGGACTGAGTGGTTTGGGCAATGGGAAGAAATACCCAGACAGTGGCTAATCCGGACCAGGCTCAGGAGGGAGATGGGGCCATCACTTCTAAGCCTGGGCTCTATCCCGCCTGCCCAGGACACAGACAGCAGTGTTCTGCAGCCTAGACATGCTCTTCACCAATCCTGCTCAAGTGGGCTCAGCTGATGTCCTCAGAGGGCAGGGCCAACCTACCCCAAGGCAATATGAGGGGCCCTTTGTCCCAGAGTTGCTGCAACTTCAGGATTGAGGGTGAGACACAGAAAGAACCAGATGGCAGAGAATGAAAGAGGCAGAGAAGAGAAAAATGAGAAACAGAGAAAAAGGAAATGAGAGAAACCAAAAAGGGCACAGGAAAAAAAGAGGGGGGGGGGAGGGAGAGAGAGATACCAAAAAGGAATGAAAGAGAAAACAGAAAGGCAGAAAGAGATAAGAAGAAAAGAGAGGGCCGGCCCGGTGGCGCACTGGATAGTGTGCCGCTTGGGAAGCGCGGCGCTCCCGCCTGAGGGTTCGGATCCCACATACAGACCGGTTCCCGCTCACTGGCTGAGCGAGGTGTGGGAGCAACACCGAGGGTTGCGATCCCGTTGCCGGTCCCGGTCTGGTACGGGGGCGACACTGAGGGTTGCGATCCGTTGCCGGACACAAAAAAAGACAAAAAAAAAAAAAAAAGAAGAAGAAGAAAAGAGAAAGAGAGAGGGAGACAATGATGGGGAAAAGACAAAAAGAGAACAAGGGAGAGGTGGAAACAGAAGGAGAGAGAGAGAGACAGAGACAAAGAGAAGAAAGATAGGACAGAGAAGGGGAGAGAAAAATAGAAAGAGAGCCAGAGGAAGGCATGGGAAACCAGGCAGCAGGCTCCCCGGGGCGCGTACCCAGGATGGGCAGCCCAGGCGGTGACAGGAGGTGGCTGAGGAGGCAGGGGACCTCTGCAGACACCCTGGCCTGCCTGGCAGCACGGTGACTTTAATGATCCCCAGGGAGCTGATGGCATCTGACGTCCCTGGCCCCACAGCCCCCTCCCCTTCCAGCCAGGCCAGACTTGGACAGGGAGGCTCCGCCTGCTGATTTATGGGTTTTTCTCTCCCGCCCTCTTGTCTCTGCTGTTCCCACTTCCACCTGGAGTGTGCAGGGCGGGGACTGAGCCGCTGGTCAGGGTGGGGATGCGGCAATGGGGCAGGGATTCCAGGAGGAAATAACCATCCCTCTAGGGAGACCCCACATCCAGAAGCTTCTCTCTGCCTTCCAGGGAATATTTGCTGACTGTTTTCCCTACAAAGCCCTCTGGCCTCACAGTAGGCAGTTAATATGGCCCTGTCTAATGAGCACCCACTATGCACCAGGCCCAGGGCTGAGTAATTTACACACACAGGCTCAGCCCACCCTCAGAAGCAGACACGACAGCTCCCATTTTACAGATGAAGAAACCGAGCCCCACAGAGGTGAAGGAACAAGTCCAAAGTCAAGCCAGCTGGTCTGCAATAGAGGCAGGATTCAAGTCCAAGTCTGACCTCAGGGCCCTGTTAGCATGTAAAAAAGAATGCCATTTTTGCAATCAAACCAAATATAGATGCAAAGGGGGAAAAAACCTAGGAAGATATTCATTATGATGCCACTCAAAGATAGCACTGGTTAGCATAATTAATTAAGCCCAGGGATCTGGGGTCAAATCCCCAGTATTCCTCTCCCTTACTGGGTGTCCTTGGGCAAATTATACAACCCTTTGTGCCTCCTCTGAAAAAATGGGAGAAATAGTGCCCCCACTTCATAGCATTGCTGTAAGGATTAAATGAGTCAACATTTGTGGAGCGCTTAGAACAGTGGCTGGTACACAGCATGTGCTTCCTAAGTATGTGTGTGTAGACATGTGTACTTGTGAGAGTATTATGTGTTTGTACACTTATATGCACGTGTGTGAGTGTTCGCGTGTCTCATGTGTGTGTCTAGGTGCATGTGAGAGTTTGCAGATGTGTGTACACGCATGCATGTGTGTTGTCAAAGCCCCATTGGTTTCTGCGTTGCAGAACTTCTGGGTTAAGGCTTTTCTTTTCTCCTTCTGGATTACTTATATTCTCCACAGATAATAAGCATTCCTTTGTAAGAGGAGGGGTAGACTTAACAATGAGCAAGGGGTTATATGAAAAAACAGAAGTCAAAGCATTTGCAATTCTCAGACTCCCCTTCTACCAACGTCTGAGAATCTCCAGGCTGAACTCAGTCTCAGGGTGGCAAGTTGAACCCCAGTCCAGCTAACCATGCAGAGCTGGGGCTGGGACTGGGCTACTCAAGTCAGGTCCTCCCCAGACTCATGGAATTCTCACCCCAGGCAACTGCCCAGCCTCAACCTCCGTGGCCCAGACAGTGCTGGCTGCCAAAGCACACACCTTCCTGCTGGAGCAGTTTCCTGAGCCTAGGCAGCTGACTGCTGGATGCTAGGGGAAGCTGGGGAGGGCAGAGTAATGAAGGGTGGGGGCTGAAGTTCATGACCTCTATGGGGCTTTCCCACCACACCAGAAGGCCAAAAGAGACTGGCTCAATGTAGCCCCATCTCTGCCTCCAGTATTCTGTGTATCCTGAGGCAAGTCCCTATCTTTCTCTGGGCTTTGGATGCCTATTGGAGAAACTGAACTAAGGGTTCTTCCGAGTAAGGCAGGCTGAGATCCTTGGCATGCCAGGGCCAGCTCTGCCGCCAAGGGGAGGCAGACACAAACAGCCTTGGCATGTAGGAACTCAGGAGTATCCACAATTATGCCCAACTCTTTCAGAATGCTTAACATGAGGTACTCCCGTGTAACTGGCACTTGCAGCATTCAAGATAGTACAGCATGATGGGTAACAGTGCAGGCTCTGGATCCAGACAGCCTGAGTTCATGGCACAGCTCCATGGCTTACTAGCTGCGTGACCATTTGGTAAGTTACTTAACCTTTTTGTGCCTCAGTTTCCTCATCTGTAAAATGAGGCTACCCCTCATGGCATGGTTGTGAGATTAAATAAATTAGTACATCTCAAGACACTTCACACAGAGCAAGCAGTCAATAAATAATAAATAACAGCTAATAATAACAACAATAACAGTCGGCATTTATGTAGCACGTACTAGGTGCCAGGAACAAAATGCTTCGTGCGTATGATCTCATTTAAGCTTCATTCCAGCTTCACAAGTCAGGTATGAGGATCCCCATTCTATAGATGAGGATGTAGAAACTCAGAGAGGTTAACTAACTTGCCAAAGTTCACACAGCTAGTTCCAGTAGAAACTGGATTCCAGTGCCAGCTCTCTCTTACCCCAGTGTTTTTTTTTTTTATTTTGTTTTTTTTTTTTGCAGCAGGCTGGTACAGGGGATCTGAGCCCATGACTTTAGTGTTACAAGGCTGTGCACTCTAACCAACTGAGCTAAATGGCCAGCTCTCCAGTGTTCTTTTTGCCCTGTAAAGTTGTTTTGGGGAAAAGACTGTGGGGCAGGAGTGTGGTCCTTGAAAGAGGAGACTGCAAAAACTGGAAGGCCCTTAGAGATCACCTAGGTCACCTGCCCATTTGCCAGTTGAGAAAAGAGGTTCAGAGAAATTAAGTTCAAGGTCACATAGGAACAGGCATACTCAGGACTGCGACCCAGATCTATGTTATTTCAAATCTAAGCAGGAGGAAAGAGGGAGCCAAAGAGAGGGGTACACATGTGGAAAATAATAGTGAGGATTCAGTCTCTGCAAAACTCTTCAGGTCAAATGTCCCAGGCTCTTGAAAAGATGAACTGTAAGGAAATGAAAGGGATAAAGGGTAATCGTTAGAGACTTAAAAGCTATACATTTTTATATGGACAAGACTAAACACTACCATCTAGAGATGTGCACTTAACCATAAAGAAACATGAAGAAATACTACAAATGTCAGGCTGTGATTGGGGTAGGACATTTGAGGGGCTTCTATTTCTTGATTTGGCTGGTGGTTGCTAGTGGTTCACCTTATAATAACCCATTAGGTTCCATGTTTGTTTTACATGACTTTCTATATTTGTATTTTATTTTACAATAAAAGATATTTTTAAAATAACAGTAATAATTTATATGGTGACACCTTCCATCTGTTACTACCTTAACCATGTGTTGGGAAAATAGAAAAGTTTGGTCAGGGTCCTCACCTTGGGTCCAGTTGGGTGTGGCTTTAACACATCCTTTGCAAGCAAATTGTGTGCATGTGCGGAGTTAGTGTGCATGCGTGCCAGTGTATCTTTTTAGTTTTGTTGCTATTCTTGTACTCTTTAGAGAGAGAGAGAGAGAGAGAAAAGAGAGAGAGAGAGAGAAGAGAGAGAGAGAGAAAAGAGAGAGAGATAGAGAAAAGAGAGAGAGAGAGAGAAGAGAGAGAGAGAGAAAAGAGAGAGAGATAGAGAAAAAAGAGAGAGAGAGAGAGAGAGAGAGAAAGAGAGAGAGAAGAGAGTAGTTTGAGTTAAGCAGGCAGGCAGGCGTCTGCCTCGGGTGTCTGCCCCGGGCATGAGAGAGAGAGAGAGAGAGAGAGAGAGAGAAAGAGAGAGAAAAGAGAGTAGTTTGAGTTAAGCAGGCAGGCAGGCGTCTGCCTCGGGTGTCTGCCCCGGGCATCCACCCGGTGCAGCCATGCTTTCCAACCTATGGCTCTAAGGACCTCTTGGCCAGTTACCTAGCTCATAGACCTACGTGTGAGGGGTCTGGTGACCCAGCCTGGCATGTGAAGGGTTTGTGACCCAGTCTGTGAATGGGCTTGAGAGTTCTGTGGGCTCCAGACCCAGCCCTA